AGAGGGGCGCCTGGGTGGCTCAGTTGGTTAAGCGACTGCCTTCGGCTCAGGTCATGATCCTGGAGTCCCTGGATCGAGTCCTGCATCGGGCCCCCTGCTCGGCAGGGAGTCTGCTTCTCCCTCTGACCCTCCCCACTCTCATGCTGTCTCTCATTCTCTCTGTCTCAAATAAATAAATAAAAAATAAAATCTTAAAAAAAAAAAAAAAACAGACACAGAGACTGACACTGGGGATGGGACTTAGGTACTAATGTTCAGGGTGGATGATACGGACTTTCTGCTGAATAACGTTCTGTGCTATTTGAATGTTTCACACATAGCTCATCACTTTCATGCTTTTAATTAATTGTTTTAAAGATGTCAGAAAAGAGTTCTAATAGGCATAAGTCATCTTTGGCACAACTAAATGTTATGAGGAAAGTTACCTTGCAGAGAAGAAAGAAGGCGCAAGAACCTCTGAACGACTTCTTGCTTCAGAAAGTTTTTAGGCAGTAGCCGGCTTCCTGAGTTCATGTACTTCACCAGCTGCTCAGAGGCCTTCCGGAATATGTCGGTCTCACTAACAGGTCCGTCACCATTGTTCAGTCCTGCAAAACAAGCACACGATGCCTCCGAATACAGAGATCACAGCTGAGGGAGATTGCAAAAGTTACCCCGGTTTGCCACCCTTCCGCGGAGTCCCTTATTTGCCCCATGACTTCGGGTCTCCTTCCATCAAGAGGTGGAGCCTATTCTCTTCCCCACCCTGGATTCCAGCCTGGCTTCCAGACTTGGTATGACCAATAGAATGCAGTGTGATTTTTGTCCTGGTTCTAAGGTGGGGCCTCAAGAGGCCTGGCTTAGTTCTATTCACTCTCTTGAGACCCTGGCCTCTGCCAAGTGAACAGGTCCAGTCTCGACTTCGGGGGGACAGGAGACAGCATAGAACAAAGAGGAATCAGTCCGGTTGTCCAAACTGAGGGTCCATAGATGTGAAAGAGCCTGGCCAAGATCAGCAAGACCACAGCCTCTTGGAGGAATTCAGTTAAAACTATGAGAACAACCCAGCCTAAACTGCTGGCCTGCAGGGTCACAAGCGAAATAAATGCTTGTTGTTTAAAGCGACTAAATTTGGGAGCAGTCTGTTACACAGCAATAGATAACTAACATAAGAGTTGAGGGAAGTGACAGAAACAGGAGGGCTTAGCACCACATGCCAGCCACCCATGCGTCTCACTGGCCAGCAGAAAAACCCGAGAAGAAGGAGCCACCTCTCTGGCCAAAGAAGGGAAGACAATATCCCCTTGGTTCAGTTTATTTGAGAAAGTAGCCATGAAAACCCCCCCTGACAGAATGTTGAAATGGGCAAATGTTTTATTTGCTATCAGGTGATACACTCAAAAAGCACTCTCGCTTAAAATAGAATATTACTGAGCACATCAGGGAGCAAAACTGGACGTGCTTTCACACCCAATGAAAAGGGCCCGGCCCACAGCATTAGGTGCTGTCACACTGTGCAGAGATGAACAAAGGTTCAATGTCGTGTTCCAACGAAGTAGGAACACTTTAAAAGAGATGGACTATTTGAAAATGAGAAAAAAATGAAAAACATCCTACCTTCATCAGGTTTCCCAGCAGTAGGCCCTGGGTCAAGGATTTGTGTGCAAGTAATTCACGAAGGAGGTGACGGGTGGGAAGTAGATTAGGGGTCAGAAGGAAGCCAGGTGGCCTTGCCTGATCCCCCAGGGGAGCTCTGGAGTGAGAGTACCCCTCACAGCTATTCCCATCCAAGGCCAGGAAGACGGGCTTTCAAATTCTCACCTCGATCTATCACTGGCTATAGGCTGCCCTGGGAGGATGTAAGTCCTCAGGCACTTCTAGTTTAAAGGAGCCCCAGCAAAACTGGCTCCATACGCTGTTCTCCTTGAGAGGAAGCCTTAGGTGCTAGCTTCCCAAAGTCAAGGCACCCCCACGTCGAGGGGCACACAAATGGTGAAAGGGATCCAAGGGATCCAAGCAGAGCTTCAACATTATCTGCTGTGCCTTCTGATGCACACCTGGGTCACCTTTCAACAAATCAAGTCAGAACACAAGAAACACACACATACACACACCGACTTCAGGGGCTCATTGCCCTCTACTCAAGAGACCTTCAGGTGCCAGAGAGAAGCAAGACCCACTTTAGCACCATCCTCCAGAGAAAAAGAAATGGAAACCACTTAGCAAAGGAAGACCTACATCACCTCAGCTGGAAGCCCAGAAAACATCTATGTGCTCTGACAGTGACTCGGCCCTCCCACCTTCATCCTAAAATACCTACGAATACACAGAAATGGTGAAAGCTCACATTACAGAGAAACAGGATCCTTGGAAAAGGAGCAACTTCCTTCACTATCATGTGTTACTTATCCCCCAGCCTCATGCCATTAAAATCTTTTCTAGAACAACATTCTTCCACTAGGGAAATTAGTATAAAAGTCACTTGACACTGAACAAAGATAGACTAAGATGGCCAGTATAATTAGATGCAGTTGTATAATAAATGCACGGCTGTGTGGTTCAGAATAGTTAAGCAATGGGTCAGAGAAAGTTCCACATGTCAGGAAAGAAACCAGAGAATGATACTAACAATGTAAAGACACATAGAAGGAAAGGTGCTGGCAAGGGTACCCCTGGGTAGATGTGGGTGACTTATTTATTACTCTGAATTTGTCTAGTTTTTTTCTAAATTTTCTATAAGCTTAGTAAGAGACAAAAGAAACATCAGAATATAAAGTTGCTTGTATATTATAATCACAGATTGCTTTTCAAAAGATGATTACGTAAGTGCTGAACAACACCAACAAAAAGACTGGATAAAATATGCCAAAGTATAATCACAATAAATTTTTCTTTTTACATAAAACTATGTTTTTACAAATTTTCTACAGTGATATTTAGTAAATACATAAGCAGATTTGAAATTAAAAATTAAAACAAAGAGATCTTCTGAAATTGCAACAGTGCTCAGAAGTGTTAGAAAATAGAAATAAATCATTTCAAAAAGAGATTTTGCCCTAGCCTGAAATTTTTCTTTCAAGCTAAAAAAGGCAAAACTGATTAAGTTTTAGTACACACATTTTATCAATTCAAATTTATGTCCCCATTTCATTTTTTATAAAAAAAAAGAAAAATGTATAATTATGAAAGCATGGAATACGACTAAATGACCAAATCACAAATATATTAATTGGGGGGGGGGGCAGGTGAGTTTATGGAGAATTCATGTTTTCTTGTTTTCCTTTTCTATATTTTGTAATTCTTTTAAAGAAAACACTGCATTTATAGTAAGGAAAAAGTATCATGAGCATCCTTTAGGTCGATTCCAGATGCCTGCATTTACTGAAAACAGGGCACCGTCTTTGGTGCTGAGGGATGGTAAGATGACGAACCAGGGCCTCTGCGTCCCAGGCCCCATCCGTGGGGAAAACCAACACAAAGAGAAGGTTCCAGGGTCCTCTGAGTGCTGTGTCCGAGGTGCCTGCATGAGCACAGAGCAGAAAGCAGCCGGCTCCCACTGGAGCAGCAGAGAGAAGGCCTCGGAGGCCTGGAATGGTTCTCACTCTGAGTGAATCACAGATTACAAACCCTGAGGAGAAGGAAGGCTCCAATCCTGTTCTTGGTCCAGAGAAGAGAGAATCGACAGCGGCCAGAGAGGTAGGTGTGCTGCCACCTGGTGGTGGCCGTGAGAGGCAGGTAAAAGCAGTTAAGAGTTTTCATTTTCCACCGCGGTCACCCAGTCAACCGCAGTCCAGAAGCAGATGATCCTCCTTATGACAAATCGTCAGAAGGTCAGTAGTACGGGTGCCTCGGTGGCTCAGTCGGTTAAGCCTCCGACTCCTGGTTTCGGCTCAGGTCATGATCTCAGGGTTGTGGGATCGAGCCCTGCGCCGGGCTCTGCACTCAGCACAGAATCTGCTTGAGATTCTCTCTCTCCCTCTCTCTCTGCCCCTCCCCCCATGCTCTCTCTCTCTAAAATAATAAATAAATAAATACGGAAAAAAAAAAAAAGGTCAGTAGTAACCTAATGCTCTGTCACAGTGCCTACATCATTCTCATTTCACCTGACCAGGCAGGCATTTTATCATCCCATTATCATCACAAGAAGTGTGAGTACAGTATAGTCAGGTATTTTGAGAGAGAGAGAGACAACGTTCACATAACTTTTATTACTGCAGACTGTTATAATTGTTCTATTTTATTATGAGTTGTTGTTAATCTCCCACTGGGCATAATTTATAAATCAAACCTGATGGGATGTATGTATAGGAAAAAACAGTACATACAAGGTTCAGTACTATCCACGGTTTCAGGCATCCACTGGGAGGCTTGGAAGTATCCCCTGCAGATAAAGGGGGACTGCTGTATACAGTCCTGACTACTTAGAGTAAAGCCTTGTTCCTCCAAGTGGGCTCTGGCTTCCCCTGGTACTTTGCAAGAACTGCAGAATCTCAGGTCCTGCCCTGAACCTGCTAAATCAAAATCTGCATTTTAACAGGCTCCCAAATGGTTCCTGTTAACAATGGGAAGCTCCAGGGCGCCTGGGTGGCTCAGTTGGTTAAGCAACTGCCTTTGGCTCAGGTCATGATCCCAGAGTCCCGGGATCGAGTCCCGCATCGGGCTCCCTGCTCAGCGAGGAGCCTGCTTCTCTCTCTGACCCTCCCCCCTCTCATGTGCGCTCTCTCTCTCTCATTCTTGCTCTCTTAAATAAATAAATAAATAAATCTTTAAAAAAAAAAAGACAATGGGAAGCTCTGGTTTAGAGAACAGCAGAAATCTTCAGCAAGACCCTTCATTTCACACCTTGGTGCAAAAGCCACCCTCTCCAAAGTCATCATCACCATAATCATTAAAATGTTGCACAGCAACGCTCAGGATGAGCGAGGGGTGAGAACATCTTTTATCCTAGTCTCTCAGTTAGAATGCTGTTCGTCTGGGTACAAAAACCTAGCATCCTGATGGTGCTTTACTTGGGGCCACAGATGTAAAAAAACAAAAATCATTAAGTCCGTGGACTCAGGTCAGGAGCCAGGGTACCCAACTCCCCAGCAGAAGCTCTTCCCAAAGATAGTGTGCGTCCATCAAGCCCATTAATGTGTGAGGATGGGGAGGGATTAAAGGCCATAAAATCTTCATTTTTATGACTGGAGATCTACATTTATGCCCATGGCCCCAGGCCCTCCCTTTGCCTGTCTTCTCAGCTACTACTCTGGCTTAAAAGACCATGCTGGGACTAAAGTCTAAAACTACACTATCCACTACAGTGGCCACTGTATTTAAAATAAAATTAGAATTTCAATTCTTCTGTTGCATGAGTCATGCAGATTTCAAGTGCTCAAAAGCCATAGGTGGCCAGAGGCTATCCTATGAGACAGAGCAGATATAGAACATTTACATCAGTACCGAAAATTATATTGCATGGTCCTCATCTACAAAGATTCCCCAGCCCCACCTCAGGTTTTAAAGTTTATGCCACTGGCAAAATCTTAGAAACAAAATGCATGCATACAACTCTATACAGCTGTATGGATGCACAAAGTAACCGTGCTACTCAGTACAGACGTCATATTCCAATACTGACGTCTACAAGGGTTCCACCGCTAGGGGTCTTTGGGAAGTACGCTACCCAGAAGACTCCAACTCGCTAGCCCTGCCTCATAACTGGTCATCCTCAGCTTGTCCGATTTTTATCAGTTTCTTTTGATTTTTGTGATTCCATGTTTCCCTATAGTCTTTCAATATTCTTCTAGCATGGCAAGGAAAAATTCATGGTCGATGGTCTAGAATACTTTAAAGTAACCAAACATCCAATAAGTTTACCAAGGAGTATCAGGGGCTGTAGGCTTCGCTGTATCCACTGTCATCACAAACTACCCAGTGAGCCAAAAGGAAGCCTTGGAAGGAGGCACATTCCTCTTGAATGTGCTTTTCTTCCCAAGCGAGCATAACTGAATTCTAATAAGTAAAAGGGAACCAGCTGCTTTTCTACTGAGTCTCTTCTCCTGGTTCCAAATCTGGGCCACAAATCTAGCTGGTGAAGGTAGAGAGGAAAGGAGGGTTAGACCCTATCTCAGAAACTGAGCTGTTTTTAGGATTAGCAGATATTCAAAGATTCTATTATGCTCTCCCGAAAAAAAAAACTGAAAAAAATCAAAACTTTAAAAACTAAACAGGATAGCATGGCTTATGCTAAAGCCTATACCACTAGATATAGCCTACACATACACATATACAGTATTCTAAGAATTAAGGTTAGAAATAATTGCAAACAAAAAAATTAAATGCAAGCAAAAAATCTGCAAACAAATCAGCCATTTTCTACCATTAACTGGTGGTCCTTTTTTGTTGTTATACTAAAACCTGGAAATTCGCTAGCAAAGAAATCTGTTCAGTTAGTTTCTATTTCTCAAACAGTAGAACCCATCCTGAAGCTGAGATTACAGGCATAAACTCTCAGAAAGCATCTCACAGTGACTTATTAATTTGCTACTTCACAGAAGAAATCACAAGTCCTTAACACGGGGGTCTTTTAAAAACTAAATATATGTATCAGTTTAAAAAAAAATCCATGAAAAATAGAGAACTCTGCAAATACACTTCTTTCCCCTCATTTCAGTGATCTCACAGAAACAACAGATGATATTTTAAATAAGTAAATGAAAATGAAAACATGGAGCAATGAGGGGCAGGGACGTTAAATGAAAAACAGCTTCTCCCCCATGTGAAAATTTCCTGACCCTGGCAATTGCGATGACCCCCACCTGTCCAACTGCATCCCACTCCAACACATACACCCCGCCACCTACTTACCCACTCCAGGGGCGGGGGAGTGTTTCTGGGGAAACACATCCAAATAACTTCAGTAAACACACTAACCATCTATTAAGTATTAATCAGTCCAGTCCTTCATTCATGCACACAGACCATCCAAAGAGCAGAAGATAATTAAAGAAAAGCAATAGCACAAAAGAGAAACAAGAAAGTGAATCTACTCACCCCAAAAGAAACAAATAATTCAGAGAAGAGGAGGATGTTCTTTTAGAAAAAAAAAAATTCAATATTCTCAAATGCCATTCAAGAAGAGGTGGCACATATAAAACAAGCAAAAGCTGCCATGGATGAGAAAAAAATCAGAGAGCAAGAGTTCTTAGAAATTAAAACTGAGTTTCCAAATTAAAACAAATGCAATGGGCAAGCTGAGTTATAAAAGGAAAAGCTGTAGACCAAGTTAAAGGTCTGGGAAGAAAAAATACCTAGAAAACAGTAGGGAAAAGTAGAGAGACGTGTTATAAATTCAGGAAGCTCAGCCATTTAATACTTGCAGCAAAGAGACATCAGAAGGGAACAAAATGATAGAAGATAAATTTCCCTGAGCTAAAAAAGTTAGATTGAGAGGGGCCAACAAGAGCCAAGTGAGAAGAATGTATAAGAACCCACACCAAGAAACTTCCCAGGGACATTTCAAAACTCGAAGGACAGAAAAATCCTAGAAGGGAAAATAAATGAGACTGACATCAGACTTCTAATCAGTAGCAAATGGAGGTTAGAATACAATGACACAATTTCCTCAAAGTTGGGAGGAACAAGGTTTTACAGCATATTTCATAAATCTAAGATCCTGTGCATTGTCCTACACACCAGAAACAGCTGCATCAAACTGACCCATCACTGATGGTAAAACACATTCCAATTTTAAAGATGTGGGGAGAATCTGCAATTTAGAGTCCATGAAATACAATGCCTATATTCGAAAATACAATGCCCATATTCAACCAATATAAAGACAACATAAAGACATTTTCAAAAACTCCGTAAGTCCATGCCTCCTCCAGAAGAAACTTACTTGAGTAGGTATACTAACAGATCAAGAGAGAAATCTAAACAGACAACATGAGCCACAAAGTCATATATGAGTGCAAGAACTAAAGGAAGCATTTATACACACACACACACACACACACACACACACACTGGGGCTGAAGTCTAAATAAAAAGTCTAAATAAGGTCCAAACAGTATGTATGCGTACATACGTGTATACACATAGGGTTCATTAAACTGGGACGCTTAAATGGTATCACATTGAAAGAGCGAAGTTTTCAGGACGTTTGGTGGTTCTTTTCTATGGGTTCTGCTATGCTACCAGTTGTAGAATGTAGTTTACATAACCATTTACATAATCATACTACCACCATGTAAATGCCATTTACTTGGTTTTTCATTTCTACAATTCATCTATGGATGAAGCCCAGAAAACTCAGAGCTAAGGAACAGAATGGAAACGACACAAATGACATTACTGGGCAAAATTCATCAGTTGGAGCTAACTTGTTGCATTTCATCCTATACAGCAGCCAGTCAATAGATGCTGTCCCAAACTAATATAAACCATATCTATTTCAGAGATATGAATGTATTTTAAATTGTTGGTTGTAGTTGCTTCGGAGGAGTAGCCTTGATGTTTTGTTAGCCCCTCTTCTGTATGACTTTTTTTCCTTTTTATACTGTGTGCATGCGTGGGGAAAAAAAAAAAAAATCACCCAAACTGCCCAAAGGTGGACCTGGCAAAGTGATCGGGATGTCATAGACACTCTCTAAGTAAGAGTTGTCTCTGTCTTTCAAAAAAAAGCAAACAAGTTTTCCAAAGACTGGGGGTCTCACTTCCATCTTCATATACTAAGAAAGTATAAACTGATTTGTATCTCATGTCACAGGATCCGTTTTACCACCCATCTCCCAAAAAGTTATTTCACTAGAAGCTGTACCTGATAGGTCCTTAGAACATGCAGCCAGCTTTGCCAAGTGACTGTTGATTTTCTCAATGGCTTTGAAGTTCTTATTCCTCTTCAGGACATCCATGGCAGAGCGGGACTGTCGATCCAGCAGGGTAGGGTCTGCCCCAAAGCTCAGGAGCATCTGCACATCCTCTGTTTGCCCTAGACCGGGCCAAAAGGAGAAAGGGGGGCTGTCATGGTCCCTTCCATAAGGAGACGTCCCCATGAGTGCTCTTCCTCCCAGCTCCCTGCCCAAGCAGCCTGGGGCAAGGGGACCAGTGTCGCTCTGCTCCTAGAATCTAAACTGCTGGCCTTGGACAATCCACCCAACTCCCCGAAGCAAGGAGTCCTGTGTGGAGTGGGTAGGACAATAGCTCTGAAGAGGTTCAGAAGTGCGCTCCTCTCTACCTTTCTCCCCTCTCCCTGGCAACAAGCAAGGAGAAGGGGAATCTGGTTCCTAGGCAACAGTTACAGCTGTAAGGATAACAGCGAGCTGTGACTTCAGATTTCTTTATTCCCTAGAGAGGAAACAGAATATTCTTCCAGAAAAAAAAAAGCCTGTCTGGGGATCGGAGAAGAAAGTGGCAATTGCTTTTGCATCAGGGTCTTTTTGTTGTCACTGTTTCCACCCTCCCAGCCCCAACCCTCTGGCTGCCAGCTCCATTTGCTGCTTTGACGTATCTATTTGCCAAGCATCAAGGTGTCTCCATGATCACAGATGCCACAGTTTTCCGAATGGAACAGGTGTATCCCTGGGGGTACAAAGACTGACGTGGGCACAAAGAGTTCAGCAAATCAATGCCTGATCCCCAGCTTCCATACCCATGCTTTCCTAAAATCCCCTGCCCGGACAAGACACCTGGACTCCAGGTACTGTCCTGTTCAGGGCGCTCTCCTTTTCCATCTCCCCAGTCACAACTGCCCTTCTTGCATTTACAAAAATGAGACAAAATTAAAAAGTCAAACTTTTGGGCGCCTGGGTGGCTCAGTTGGTTAAGCGACTGCCTTCGGCTCAGGTCATGATCCTGGAGTCCCTGGATGGAGTCCCGCATCGGGCTCCCTGCTCGGCAGGGAGTCTGCTTCTCCCTCTGCCCCTCCCCCCTCTCATGTGCTCTCTCTCTCTCATTCTC